TTTTATATGTTTTTATTCTTTAATTGAATAAGTGCAATATTGCATGACTGCATGTGTTAATAAATAACAACAGGCAATTTACCCAATGAAAACTAACTGGGAGAATGTACAGATTAATTTTGACCTGCATGATTACTTTTATGAAGTGTAAAAAATTGTGCCTAGATGAGTTTGAAAAACCAGGAAACCAGGTTAAAGTTACCATGTGCATTAAGTTGATTTTCTTTGGGTAAATTGCTGACTGTTGTCATATTAAATGTCCAATTAGTACAGTTTGTTAGAACTGTATGCTAGCCAGGCCCTGCACTACCTTGCCTGCATTGTCTTGCAATGTGGCCTGGCTTGCCACATTGATAACATCTTCTTTTAATCTTCCTACAAGACAGAATATCATAAAGTATTTTAATCTGAATTTAATTACTAGTAGTTAATTATTACAATAAAAAAAACATTTTCTTAACTTACTTGCTTGATCTCGATTGTAAGCTGTAAACAGAGAAAAAGGAAAAATGTACTATTGACTTGTAACTGACCAATTAACAAGCATGTGGTAATATAGAAATTATACACTCCCCTAGACACAGTTATAGCCCAATAGGTAGTATGAGGTAGGATTAGTCTTTATTTTTAATTTCTTTGAAAAGATAAAAGGAAAACACATACATTTCTTACAACTTGTTGATTTGTGTGTGGCCTTTCTGGCCACAATTATGCCATTTTCCTAAATAAAGAAGTATATATGACACTTCAATAGGTTATATGTTTAGTTTGACATCTTTTAAATAACAAACAATTTTAAATAACAGACATGCATTACCTTTAAATTCAACCTTTTGCCTTTGGTTTTCTTTCACTGCCAACTGACCTATTAAAAATATGTACAGTTTACTAAATGTTCATCTAAGACTTCATTAAACACATAGCATAATACTACCCAAAGGGCAAATGGTAGGGAAACTATTATATTTTCATGCTTATTATATTGTTTATATTATAGTCTATATTAGCCATGAATATTAAACAAATACATAATGCATAATCATACTGTTATGGTTTTGGCTCTGGTTTGAACCACTGGCGCTGTTTCAGCATTTAATTGGCACCATTTCAATGTTTGGCACATCTACAAAATATGGTATTATATATCATGGACTATTCAATTCAAACAAAATTGGAATTCTTACTATAAAAAACTTACTTTCCATTTCGGGATTAGGGAAGACTTTGACTTTGTTCTGCATCTGCAAAGACAAAAAACAAACAAACAAAAAGACTATTGACATTATGACATATTGATTATTATAATAGGTTTTGTTTGTGGAAACACCACGTAAATTTATTACTGCAAAGCTTTCGATCCGTAAGCCCGGATCTTCATCAGTGCTAATAATATGATAATATAATATAATAATATCATATAATATAATATAATAATATCATATTATTAGCACTGATGAAGATCCGGGCTTACGGATCGAAAGCTTTGCAGTAATAAATTTACGTGGTGTTTCCACAAACAAAACCTATTATATTTTATCACCATGCAAACATACAAAGAACTTATATTGATTATTGTCTAACAATGCACTTTTTACCGCTTTTAAAATAAAATTCAAGTCGCAGTCGTATAATGTAAACTTGCATATGGTCTTGCATGACCCCGAAAAAATGAAAATTCTCAGTTCATAGAAAGATTTAGTAAGGTTTCAGAAAGATTTGTAGACAGATAACGTTGAAACAAAATACGGACATATAAATACCATCTGAATCCGGCAACTCTTCCCCTTCACGGGCATTTTCCTGGTGAATGGTGATTTATAAAAAGTGAACCAAATAAATTAATGATAAATCTGAATACTTCAAACCATTATACATGTCAAGTAATATATATTCTATTTACTTATAAGATCAGATTTTAGAATCCTAAAATTGCCCTCCTCTGGCACTTGGTATGTAGCCTACTATTTATATGAACTGTATAATACATATAAGTTTTGATTTGTGGAAATACAAACATGTATAAATTATTATTGCAAAGCTTTCAGCGACCAGGGAGCATTTGGTGTATTAAAACGCTACGCCAAAAGCATTCGCAACGCTACACCAACATCCCACCCGGACCCATTCTTCCGACTATCACCCACGCTGCTTTTTATACGGATTGAAAGCTTTGCAATAATGAATTTGGTAGAAATGGTATAGGTAGGGTGCAATGCAACTTGATTAGGTTAACTAGCTTAAAGTACAATTTTAAATATCCGTAACTCCAGACAAAGCTTAGGGCAAATAGTCTGATTCACCAAATGAGTGGCAGCCCTCTCTTTAACAAGTGAAATCACCTGGCATTATAGACATATAGTAAAATATTACTGTACTTCACCTGGCATTAGATAGAGTAAAATAATAAGGTTAAAATCAAATATGTAACTTACAGCATTAATAAGTCTAATATTCCAACTACACTTAAACATAATGCCAATTGATTGGAGTAAATATTGTTCATCATAAGTCCTCTATAAACCCATCCTAGAAATATTTATTTCATGACTATCCAAGCATATCTAATTAACCCTAGGAATTTTCTTCTCCAAATTTTTGAAATAAACAGACGTGCAGAAACACAAAAACCAGAACTGAGAGTTAAATATTAACCGAGGGTTAATGCTAACTCATTAAGTTAAAACAACCATTGGAGGGGGCTAATCATGCGATAAGTCAAGTTGTAATGTTCGCGGATGACACGAAACTCTTTAAAGAAATACGAACGGAAAACGATGCAAAACAACTACAGAACGACATTAGTAACCTCGAATCTTGGTCAACCACTTCAGGCTTATCATTTAATGGAACTAAATGCAAAGCACAGACAGTTACTCGTAAGCTCAAACCGATCACTACCAGCTACACAATGAAAGATTGTCAGTTAACATCTACCAAAAATGAGCGTGACCTTGGTGTCTGGATATCCACCGACTTAAGATGAAACAAACAAGTGAACCAACAGTGTGCTCGCGCAAACAAAGAGCTAAGTTACATTAGGAGAAACACACGGACAATCCACAACACAACAACAAGGCGAACCATCTACCTAGCTCTCGTACGTTCACATCTCGGTTACGCGACCCAAGTATGGACACCTCAGTCGGTTGAATTACTTACGAAAGTAGAAAGAACTCAACGACGTGCGACGAAATTCATCCTTAACCTGCCATTTACTTGTTCTGTTGACTATACATCCAGACTGCAGGCTCTCCAACTACTTCCAATATGCTACTGGCACGAGTATCTTGATATAGTGTACTTTTTCAAAGTAATCCACGGCTTAACTAACTCGTCCTTTGTTTTACGTAAGAACACGAGACTGAACACAAGAGCTTCCAACAACACCAATACAGCGAAGTACGAAGTACCGCAATGCAGAACAACGACTTTCCAAAAATCTTTTTGGATTAGAACAATCAGAACTTGGAACACTTTAACGGACACGTTAGACTTAAGTATGGAAAACCTGGGCACGTTTAAGTCAGTAATGCAAAGATATTATTTTGCCGCATTGGAGAAAGCGTACGAATGTGATGATCCAAGAACATTTAAAACTATCTGCCCGAAATGCAACAGTGCAAGAACATTAACCGAACCAGTGAACTGCTGTTTTTAGACGTTTTAATTGTATATATGTTTGTGTTTTAATCTTTTGGGCCCACAGTAATTGGCTTTTCAGGCTGTTGTGGTTACCCAGCCATCAGTTTAGTGTGTTTGTATTTGTGTTTGTGTTTGCGTTGTGTGGGTGCGTATGTGTTTATGTCTATATCACACAATGATGGAAAAGCAATTAAATTAAATTAAATTAAATCGCGAAGCCACGGATTCGAAAACCATGGTATTCTGAATTTACAAGAGATATTCCCAAGGAAATTTTCTTGGCACTCAAAGATGCACTCAGGTCCACAAACAATCCAAATTTGCTCACCGACATTAATATGGATGGCAATCGGAAGGCCTTCGTTATTAGTGTGACATCACTGGCCCGTGTTGTAAGTTTATTTACAGAATTAACTGAACTTAGCAATAGAAATGTTAAATCATATCTTGCGAGGAAGGTGACCAGATCGAAAGGCATAGCGAAAGTCATTGTCTTTGATGTTAAGGATTTTGCGTTGGAGTATAAATTTTCCAAAAGACAATTAAGTATTAACTGCCACTATGGATTCTGGAATACTTATGGTTCCCTCAGCATGACTAAACAGTCTAAAATGTCATGTCTTGAACAAATATTATATATAGTTTTATTTTAAGCTGTTACTGTTTACCAAATCTAGGTACTGTATGACATCCTGCCTATTTGAAATGGCCTGATTATACGATATGTCGACATTCAGCACCATTTTTGTAGCAGTGATCCTGCTACCGAGTGGAAATGACACTGCACTGAATTGGACGAGCCGCCAGGATCCCACAGAACAAGCTGTTAATTAATTGTGGCAAGCAGGATCATATATATAAACAGGCTATTAAGATATAACTTCCTGAGAAATAGAAACATGTACATTACACAATCGATGTAATTATTATATGTATAATAATAACATTATTGTTTATGCAATAACCTCATGTTTATGCAAAAACTTTTCTTTGTTTATGTGTAGTATAAGTCAAACATCACGAAACCTTGACTAACCACTAAGTTTATCTATTTAACCAAACATCTAAGTTTATCTTGATCAAACACACTGTAAGTCTTATCTATTTATCCGGCCCTCGCCTATTTCCAGATCGAATAAAGAAGGGCTCAAAACATTGAAAATTTGTATGGTTTATCTTTCAGGTCATCAAATTATTTACCGCTCTCTCGGTAGCAATAAAATTACAACGTGATACTGAGCATGGCATTACAGTCAATTGTAGTAATGAAAGGTCCCTCAAGCCCTGGAAGGTTAGGAAAAGTCTATCGGGTAAACTTTTATTGAATCTTCCTTGACTTTCGGGTACAATTAATTACTAATCGCCCTGAATGCTATGCTACAGTACTATAACGTATAATAATAGTGAAAAGTAATAGGTAAGCTGCCTTCTTACCAATTTCATCTTTTTGATATCTTTTATCAGCACAAATTAAGGATGGTAACAGGGTGGACTTTCGTCGACGCTGCATAAAAATAGTGCGGGCTCGTGAGCTTTTTCCCGCAAATTTTGCATAAGGATGTTGAAGTTTTTTACATTGTGATTCACTGGTTTTTGAAAGCAATGGAGTAATTTTTGTTGGAAGTTATATACTAACTCTTCAACATCCTAATGACTGTTTTTAAAGCAAAGCAATTGAAAGGAAAACTTATATTTTCATACGAAGAAGATGAGTAGCGATATTTATGTTGTACTGTTTTGAGCAGATTCTTCGAAGAACATGATATAATCGGACCTTGTATCCTAAAAGTGTAGTTGGAGCAGCCGAACAAAGTGGTAAATTGTGTTACACGGTGTGTTGGACATCATAATTCACAGGAATAGTACACAGTGGCGTTTGAACTGGCTATGAAATATCGTGAATACTTTGTCAAGTTCTCTACCGCCATGTGACCTGTAGTTTAATGTGGCACGCGTCTTTGAAAGGGCTTTACTTGACTTTAATCGACGTGTAAGGTATAACTTAGGTAAGCCAACATTTCTTTGTAATGCAAGATACATGTTCATATCTTTAATGTGTGAATATTTTTAATTTTGTAAAAAAATAAGCGCAATATGTTGTTGGAGAAAGTATCGAGTGCTTCATAATAACGCTCAGATCTTGTATACAGATATTCGTATTTTATTCAAATCTACCCTTTATCACCACTTTTTTTATTGTTTTATGTTAAAGTATTCATAATCCTTGACTTAAAAATACGATGATCTACTCGAAGAAAATTGGGCAAAGCGGCGATCTTTGCAGAGAAACCTGACCTTTCGGTGAAATTGGTAGTTCAGAGACCCTATTTTCATTGTAGTATTTCGTGGCAATTTGTTGGCCGATTTCTAGTTTATATTGTAGAACGGGTTCCTAGTGAAATTAAATTAATTGTCTATCCTCTACAGAGTAGTAATAAGCGGACTCCTTTTTGTTGATGGATGTTGAATAACTTGAATTCATTTTAGGCTTTTGTTCATAAGCAACAACTACACTACCGAGTACTAAATCACTGTTTGCAAAGAAATGAGCCCATATCACCACAAAAATTCAAGCTTAGTTTTAGAGTCAAATAGTTTC